AGTGAGTGGGGGGTGCAGGGTCCCGCAGCTGGCTGAGCCATGCCTCTTTCGTCTGCCCTGCGGGTGGGTCTGTCAATACTTGGCTGAGTGGCCAGTGCCATGGACGAGCGGCTCTGCCCAGCATAGGCCTGTGAACTGACCTCTCTGAATCCTCCTGGGACAGAGGAGTGACGGCGACCCCCATCCTGTGAAATGACCCAAGAGAAGGCCTCTGGGGCTCCCTGGAAAGGGCCCCAAGCTGGATTTTTCGTTTGCCGGGCCCTAGCCTCTAGGCCTGTAAGCCCACGCCTTGAAGCTGGGAGGAGGATGCTTTGCAGATCACCTGACCACCCCCTCCCGGCCACAGGGCCTCACCCTGGGAGTCTGATTCCAAGGAGGGTCCCCCCCCCTCGCCAGGACTCCCGTCCCAGGCCTACAGCAGTTGCCTAATTGTGAGTGTAATTAACTACTCGCACCCTCAAAATTAGCAAGTGGCTAATTGTGCCTGTAATTATCAGCTGCACCCGTAATTAACTGTGTGAGTGGTTTTTTGTTATGCAAGTCATTGTGCATGTGAATTGTGCCCAAGAAAAAGGAGGGTGGGGGGGCCCAGGGCTGGGGGAGGGGAGAGGGTGGGAAGGAGGGGCCAGGGCTGTGGGAGGAGAGAAGGCGGGAGGGAGGGACCAGGGCTGGGGGAGGGAAGAGGGTGGAAGGGGGCCCAGGGCTGGGGGAGGGGAGAGGGTGGGAGGGGTGTGCCCAGGGCTAGGGGAGGGGAAAGGATGGGAGGGGGAGGCTCAGGGCAGGGGGAGGGGGAGGGTGGGAAGGAGGGACCCAGGGCTATGGAAGGGGAGAGCCTGGGAGGGAGGGCCCAGGGCTGGGTGGGGGGCGGTTCCAGGGCTAGGGAAGGAAGGGGAGAGCCTGGGAGGGAGGGCCCAGGGCTGGGTGGGGGGCGGTTCCAGGGCTAGGGAAGGAAAGAGGATGGGAGGGAGGGCCCAGGGCTCGGGGAGGGAAGGGGTCACCATTGGGCCCAGCCCTGTGGCCTGCCGTGCCCTGCGGGGAGCTGGGACTGATCGGCTCCTGAGGTGGAGGCTCCTGGGTGGGGCTCAGCACGGGGCTCAGGTCAGACGGGGCCGGAGGGCTGCCTGCTTCTTCGAACTCAGTTTCCCCAACCTTTGCGCTCAGCCTCCACAGGCCCAGGGTGGCTGGCATGGGTACTGTGCAGGGCTCCACTCTTGATCCATGGCCAGTGTGGACTCAGGCTGTCAGGGCAGGTGGAGTCAGGGGACTGGGCGAGTTGAGGAGCTTCGAGGACCCAAAGTCTGGTGTGGGAGAACCCGTTTGTGTCTGGACTCATGGCCTGGGGGGCCGGGATTCTATAGTGGGGAGGTGAGGCCAGGGCACCAAGGTGATCAGAGGGGCACAGTGGCTTGGGAGAGGCGGGCATAGCAGGGGGCCAGGTGCTGCCGCCGTGCGGGGCTGTGAGCCCACGACCCCCAGCTTGACTGGGACTTGGCAGGAGAATGTCCTCCCTGGGCGGCGCCCACAGCAGACCCACCTTACAGGCACATGCCAGAGCGGGTGCAGATGGATAGTTCGGAGGCTCAGCCTGGGCAGCTGGGGTATTGGGGCAGCCTGGGGGTTCCTGGATAGTTGTCTGCAGTGATGGGCAGTGAGTGGCCTGGCCCAGTCACCCATGGGCAGTCTCCCAATGTACAGACACTGCTACACTGACCCTACATGGGGCCTGGCTGGTTTGGGACGGAGGCTGTCCCGGCTGGGTCCCCTTCCTCATAGCCAGGCAGGTGCTGGGAGCCGATGCTTGTGCCCTCCAGAGGCCCATAGGGAAGGCGTGTCCTGACCACTGAGGGCCTCTGAGGTCAGGCCCAGGACTGTGGACTTTGTCCCAGTTGTGTTAGGAGACTCAGTGTTCCACACACACGGAAGAGACCTGGGAATGCAGCTCAAGTTCACATCCAAACTCAGTATGCTCTGGAGGGCCCCTTCCCCCACCCAGCATCACAGCCCCCTGAGACGGTGCTCTCTGCGTCCTGGAGGTGTCCTATTGCTGTGTCCTCCAGGGGCGCGGGTGCTGCGTCCTCCAGGGGTGCATGGACAGAGCGGAAGGCCAACGGGGAGCCTTTTTTTTTTTTTTTTTTTGAGACGGAGTCTGGCTCTGTCGCCCAGGCTGGAGTGCAGTGGCCGGATCTCAGCTCACTGCAAGCTCCGCCTCCCAGGTTCACGCCATTCTCCTGCCTCAGCCTCCCAAGTAGCTGGGACTACAGGTGCCCGCCACCTCGCCCGGCTAGTTTTTTGTATTTTTAGTAGAGACGGGGTTTCACTGTGTTAGCCAGGATGGTCTTGATCTCCTGACCTCATGATCCGCCCATCTCGGCCTCCCAAAGTGCTGGGATTACAGGCTTGAACCACCGCGCCCGGCCAGGGAGCCTTTTTTATCAGAGCACCAACCTCGTGCACGAGGCGGGAGCCCCTGGGACTGGATGGCATCTTATCAAAGGGCAGGAGGGAGAGATCTGGGACTTTCTGCCCCCCACCCTCCACCATGCGAGGACGCCTGGATGGTACCATCTGTGTGGGGCAGGCCGTCACTCAGCACCAACCCTGTGGTGCCTGGATCCTGGACTCCGACCACCAGACCTGACCCATGTTCCCATCCGTTGTGACCTAGTCCCCGCACTAGGTGGTTACAGCACCACACATGAGACCGCTGGTTACCAGACATAGTGAGTTGGCCTCCTGGGCTGGTTAGTGTGGATAATAGGCCGGCTTCCTGGGCTGGTCAGTGTAGTTAATGGACTAGCTCCCACCTGGTTAGTGTTGCTAATGGGCTGGTTTCCTGGGCTGGTTAGTATAGTTAATGGGCTGGTTTCCTGGGCTGGTTAGTATAGTTAATGGGTTGTTTTTCTGGGCTGGTTAGTGTAGTTAATGGACTAGCTTCACACCTGGTTAGTGTTGATAATGGGCTGGTTGATAATGGGCTGATTAGTGTAGTTAATGGGTTGTTTTTCTGGGCTGGTTTGTGTAGTTAATGGGTTGCTTTTCTAGGCTCATTAGTGTAGTTAATGGACTAACTTCCCACCTGGTTGGCTTCCCACCAGCGACTTTGAGGCCAGAGCTCTGTGGGGTGAGGGAGACACCTGGGCTGTTCTGCTGGTTCTGTGTCCTGGGAGGCCCCTAGGGCCACAGGGAGGCCTGAGTTCAAACTCCGCCCGCAGTGGGCGACTGCGCCTCTCTGAGCCTCAGTTTCCTCATCTGTAAAGTGGGGGTGACCATAACCTTTCCATGGCCGGTTCTGTGGGACCCAGAGTAAGGCCGTGGGACAGGTGGCATTGTCTGTGCCTGTCCTCTCCATCCAAGGAGGCTCCCTGGGCATCGTGGATGGGCATGGAGTACCCGTGAGCCTTTGTGTAGGAGCCTGGTCCATGGGGCATTGTGCTGGGGAAGCCTCCGGAGCTCACGTCCCCTCCGCTAGAGAGGACTAGGCCTGGACATGGTCCCCAGAGCCGCCCTTTGGGGACCAGCGGTGATGGCCTCAGCTGGAAGGGCCCGGCGAATGCTGGACCACATGCCCGCAGAAGGCCCAGCTCATTGCCAAGGTGAGCCCCACTGAGGGGCACAGCACTGCTGCATGGCCTGTGTCGACCCTGAGGGGCCACTGAGATGGTGTGCCACTGTACCCCCGCACCCAGGCCTCCAGCAAGGCACCTCCGGTTGCAGTGGTGACCAGCCTTCTGCTGAGCCATCCCAGGAGGCCTGGCCCAGGGACTTGATACTCCTCATGCCCCCTGCCTGGGATAAGGCAATGACAGGAAAGAGGGAAGCAGGAAGCGTGGAGAGGACAGGAGGCACGGAGGGCAGAGGGCGGGAGAGGCACCTTCAGAGGCCCAGCTGGTCTTACCACTGCAGGAGAGCCTCCACCTGAGGCTGGGGAAGTGAGGGGGGGAGGGAGGGATGCACGCAGCATCTGGCATCCGTGAAAGGGGCTCCGGGGCTTGGTGGTTTTATCTGCTGATGTCGGCTGTGGCTGCGGAGGGTTTGCACCCAAACGTGTCAGTGGCCAGAGGCCTATCTCTGTGCATGTGCTGCATGCGTGCTGCCTGTGTTTGCAAGTATGTGAATGAATGTGTGTGTGCACACGTCCATTGCATGCATGTGCATGTCCATGTGGGTGTGCATGTGTGCTCATGTGTGTGCAAGCATATACATGTGTGCACATGCGTCTCTGTGTGCCGGCACTTCAGCCCGTTATACTGTGCCCCCACCACAGGGGGAGGAGTCTACAGGGCTGGGGGCCCTGTGCTTGCCCCTCCAGACACCTCTGGGCACCAGGACCCTGAAACTCCTCAGAAAGTGCCTTGAGCCCCCTCCGTGGCCTGCTCAGGCCTCTTCTGCAGGAACATTTTCACCAGGTCGACCTATCCCGAGGCCCAAGGGATACTGTTTGTGGGGGTCTTAGGTGAAGCCGGGACATGCTGGCTGGGGCATCCACATGCCTACACGCAGGCCCCTTGGGGCACTGGGCAAAGCCGGAGGTAGGAAGAGAGGGAGGTGGGAAGAGAGGAAGGTGGGAAGAGCCACAGGCCCAGGCCAGCTCCTTCCTTGCTGCCACTTACGGCACCAAACTCCAAGGAGTCTGAGAATTCCAAATTGGTCCAGGCATTCCATGGAGTCCGGCGGGTGTATATGCCAAAGTAGGAGGGGAATGTGATTTTGCTTGTTAGCTTCATGGATACCTTCTAAACCCTTTAAAACATTGAGACAGATGGCATGTGGCCCCACAGGTGTGAGGAGCGGGCCTGCCTTTGTTCTTCATTTTCCCGTAGCCTAGGACAGCGCCTCGAGCTGCACAGGTGCTCAAGGAGTGTGTTCGGCATGGATGGATCTCATAGTGGCCACCACCTTCCCCGTGTGCACCCACCTGCCGTCCCAGAGCACCATCTGTTTCTCGAATGCTTGGAAGAAAATTAAGCCAGGGCGAGGCCGACTACGAAAAAGGGGGACTTTATTCAGTCTCTGGAGCAGCGCGCCCCGCCTGCCCGCGCACAGCCGCTCCGCAAGGGTCCACTCTGCCCCGCCTGCCGGCGCACAGCCGCTCCACAAGAGTCCACTCAGTTCGGGACCAAGACTGTCTGGCACTAGAAACACACTGAAAACATCAACTCGCTTCCCTTTTTTTTTCCTTTTTTTTTTTTTGGTACAAAATGATACAAACAACAATACAAAATAGTTGTGCTGTTGACGATTACAAAAAAAGGTGGAACGTTTGTCTAACGTCGTGATGCTCAGATTTGCAGGTGTGAGTACATCATACTTCAGTATCTTTCCCCAAAACAACTGTGGTCATGCGGGCTGCTGCACATTTTGTCCATTTTCAAAAAGAAACATGCAAAAAAAAAAAAAAAATCAGAATGAAAAAAGGAGAGAAAAGAAAAGCAAAACACGTTCCAATTGTACAGAGAGGTGGTCCCCCGCTGGGCCTGCTGCGAGGTGCTGTCCCTCCTACGGACCCACGGCGCCGTGAGCTGGGTCACGTGTGTCTGGGAGATTTTGTGTTGATTCTTTTGGTGTTACTCCTTTGAGCACTGACAGAAATTGAAACTTCCCCTCGCCCGGCTTTTTGCTTTGGAGAGAACAGAATTCTCATCTCAGTGGACTGTGTGTGTCAGCTGGTGCTCACGCTAGGGAAACTGAGGCATCTCTGAGCGCCTGACAGTTGGACATTGCTCTGACACGTTGGTGGCGGGAGGCCTAGCATTTTGGATGTGCTGAAAGACACTAGAAAGAGAAACCTGCTGGGCCAGAAACGGGGGCTGCCCAGGCCCTGAAGAGCACTGTGGTCCTGGGCTGGGGCCTGCCTGCTGACCAAGGCCAGTCGCTCCTGCCACTCCCACCTGCAGCACAGGTTTTTCCTGTTTGCAGAACAAAAATTCCCTAAAGGAACCAAACCATGCCCTCGCACCCAGCCAGCATTGGCCTCCCGGCTTCCAGCAGGGGTCCCCTGGTTACAGACAGTCGTATCTACAAGCTAAGGAAGAGAGACGTTGGACACTGATTGTATGCTTAGCTAATGCTAACTCAAGTTCAGAGGTGGAGCTGGGAAGCTGCGGGAACCCCATCTTTCTCTGGCCCCCAGGGGCTCACCGGGGTGGGGGTAAAGGGGAGGCTGTCCAGCTGTCTGGAAGCAGGGATGGGCACGGGAAGCCCTGCGAATGTCCCTCCAGCTGGCACTGCAGCTTCAGCCTGCGTGATTTGGGCAAAATGAACGGGGGGCTTGGCAGTGACAAGAGGCGGTGGGAGAGGAGGGGAGCTGGTAGGAGGCGGCACCAACATCGCCCAGCCCTCCCGGGTAGCGCGGCGGTGCTGGCGGGACTGGGGTCTCCTGGTGCTGGGTCCTGGGAACGCCAGCCCAGGGTTCAGGGAACCCAAGGAGGCCTCAAAATTTCAGAGAAAGGCGTTCATGCTGCCCTGGCTCCCGGGTCATAGTCACACTTAGAACAATCCGCACACACTCCTCAGGACTGGAGGCCAGACCTCCCCAAACAGCAGAGACTTCCAGTCCTTCCACTGGCCGCCCAGCCGTCCCTCCAACGGCCCCACACCCTCAGCAGCATTCTTGTTTGCATAGCACAGCTCAGAGCTGGGGGACCCCGGTGCAGCCCAGCCGGCTGCCCCTTGACCTCTGTTGGTCCATCTCCTGGACTGGCTGTCTGTAGAGGGGGGCACCCAGCACGTGGCACAGTGAACTCCGCCCTCCCTGGGCAGCCATGGGAGGGTCGGAACGGACAGAGCTGGAGACTGGGACCCCAGCTCGACTCTGAAGGCTGCGCAGGGGTGGCTGTGAGTTTGGTTTGGGTAAGGACCCTGACGTCCAACGGGAATGTGCTGTGAGCCTGGCACAGATGTGTGCACTCAAGGCCAAAGCTGTTCAGAAAAGCCGTGACCTTAGCCATGGGGAAGAGCCACAGGCTGAGGGGGGCCCAGGTCCCCGGTGGAGCACATGCTGCCCCCACAGGCACCCTGAGACACCCTCTGACCCCAGCGGCAGGTGCAGGGCGGGGCTCCGGGAGGGCTCCTGGTCCTTCCCCAGTGCTGGCACCGCCCTGCCCAACACCAGGTCCTGTCCAGGACCCCTGGCACCTCCTTCCTTGGGAAGCCAGTTGTCACTGGCCTGGGAGAGACAGAAAGCTGACAAGCACGAGGCTTCCCCACATGGGGCCTGCCTCCTGCCCCAGCCCGAGGCGCCCAGACACAGCCATGCCAGAGGGAGAATGCAGCCTCCGAGTTTTCTCATGCAGTGAACACAGGCAGCCGAGCGCTCTCCCGGGGGTCCCCGGGCACAGCCCCTCTTACTGTCTTGCAGGACTGATTCCTTCCCCCTGTTTGGCTTCAGTCAACCCAGCCCTGGAGATAGCAGTGCCAACCTCGAGGACAGCAGCAAGGCCGGACCCGCTGCTGCCTGCCCCCGACGTGGGCCCATAGGAGAGGGGAGGCACCGTCTGCAGTGTGCAGAGGCATCTGTGCGACAGGTGGACACAGCAAGACAGGGCCTCCCGCCACCCACACAGGCCCACAAGCATCTGGCAGGAATGAGAAGCACACAGGCTGGGGACGGGGAGGCTGCGCAGGCTGCTGGGTGTGGTTCTGGTCACCATGACCTCTCCCACTGCCAGGGAGGGTCCTCGGTTCCTGCCATCTGCACAGCCCCCCAGATGGTTGGAGCTGTCAAGAGTGTCCTGGGGTTTGAATCGATGCATGTTGCGGGGCCTTTGATGGCGCCCCAGGCGGTCTGGTCACTAGGTTGGAGGGCTGGAGCCAGCCTGGTGACCAGACCGCTGGCTGGTTTGGAAAACTCACTCTTCTGGACCAAAGGCAGAGGGGATCTGGTGGCACTCGGGGTGACAGGTGGCCCTGACGGAGGCCTGGGTTGACTGGGGGTGGAGCCCTGGGGGCAGCCAGGGGCAGAGATGGGGAACACCCAGGATGACCCCTGTTCCCCTCCAGCCCCCAGCCTGAGCTCCTCACAGCATCCGGGAGAGGGTGGAAAGCAGTCACAAGGCGGGGGGGTAGTCTGAGCCACACCAGCCCCAGGGCTTTCTGCTGCTGGGGCTGAAGGCTAAGCCTCCCAGTTGGCCTTGAATCCCAAGAGACCCAAGAGACGCCCCGCGCCTCCCCCGGCCAACTGTGTACAGCAAAGGCTGCTGGGATTTGAATCCCACTCTGTTTTCAAACAAGTCACCCACTTTCTTTTTCTTAATAAAAGACCAAAATAAAAATGAAAGAAAGAAAGAAAGACACAGTCTCCCCCATTTCTGAATGATGCCTTCAGAGCTGGGACTAGCTGGGGTCAGAGGCCGCTCAGGACAGGAAGGTGGGGACGGTCTGTCAGCTTTAGTCACTCCTGAGTTTGAGGGAATCTGATACATGTACCAAAAGGCACTTTCTTTTTTTTTCTTTTCTTTTCTTTTTTTTTTTTGTTTTTTTAAAAACAGTGCTTCTGTTCTAGGAAATTCAAGTGAAGACAGAGTGCCTCTTGCTGTCCTTCAGTGCCAGCCGGCGCGGTGCTGGGCAGCGGCCGTGTGCAGGGCGCCGTGGGGTGGGTGCTCATGCTAGACAGCTCAACGTGGGGGTGGGGGGCCTTCTAACAGCACTAAGGACACGGCCGCAGGGAGAGTCGGGAAGACCGACCGCCTCCGCTCAGTCCTGCTCCTCCGGCGTCCGAGTGTGGCTCTCACTTCGGTGCGAAGACGCGAGGTCATCAATCCTCTTCACCACCTCCGTACATGTCCGCCAGCTTCTTGAATCTGGGCCCCCAGTCGTTGAGGTAATCGTAGTCTTGGTCCCCGGAACTGGATGAGTTCAGGGAGCTGACGGAGCCTGCGGTGGAGCCGCTCCCCTCGTAGTCGAAGACCAGCAGGGAGTCATAGGGGGGTGCCGTGGGGTCGTTGTCGGCAGCCCGGAGTCCCTGGAGGTCACAGACACAGGGTTAGAGTGCAGGGCGCACTGTCTCAGCCCCGGGATCTGATGGAACAGAAAGCGGGGCCCAGAAGAAGAGGTGGGGAGGTAGGATGTTGCATACAGTAGGTGTCCAATAAGTGCTCTCTGCATTTAACTGAAGGGCATTTCTGAATAGGAAAGGGCATTTGTGAAGACGGAGTGTGGGAGTGTTGGAGGGGCAAACTCAAATCCAGCAGGGCAGTGGCCTGTGGGCAGGGAGGACGGAGGTTGGTTAGGCCTTGTGGCGGGAGTTCCCAGGCTCCTTCCACCCAGGGCAGCGTGAGGAGGGGTGTTGGAGAGGTTGTTGTGGAAGGTGGTCGGGGGAGGTGGGGTTTGTGTGAATGGATGAGGGGGCCGGTGTGGGGAGGGGTGAAAGGGTGTGGGGGAGGTGAGAGGGTTGTTGGAGGTGAGGTGTGGGAGGAGGAAGGTTGTGGGGAGGTGGAGGGGTGTGGAGGCTGAGCTGTTGGGGGGAGGTGTGAGAGGGTTCTTTGGGAGGAGGAGTGCAAGGTGTGCGGAGGGGAGGAATGTGGTCCCTGGGGTGAGGTGGGGGTTGTGGGGGAGGTGAGGGTTGGGAGGTTGAAATGGGTTTGTGGGCGGTGAGGGTGAGGGGTGGGTGGTTGAAGGGGTGGGGTTGAGGTTGTGGGTGTGTGTGGGGAGGGTGATGAGGGGTGTTGGGGTGGTAGGGTGAGACGTTGTGTGAGGAGGGTAGGTGTGTGGTGGGGTGGCAGGGGTGTGGGGAGGTGAGGTATGGGGAGGTGGTGAGGAGGGCTTGTGGGGGAGGGTGAGACTGTTGTGGGGAGAGTGGTGGGTGAGTGGGGGCTGTGGGGGGAGGTAGGGTGTGGAGTGAGAGGGTGGGGAAGGGTGAGGGTTGTGGAGGGTGAGGGTTGTTGGGAGGGTGAGGGGTGTCGGGGGGAGGGTGAGCGTGTGGGAGCGGTGAGGGCTTGTGGGTAGAGGGTGAGGGGTGTGGGAAGGTGAGGTATGGGGGATGTGAGGTTTGTTTTGTTGTTGGTGTTGTGTGTGAGGGTTTTGTTTTGAGGTGAGAGGGGTGTGGAGGAGGGCTGTTTTTACACCGCCCTGCGTGGTTGATCCTTCGGGCCTGGGCTTTTACAGGTAGGGATATCGTGTTCCTTGGGAAATAGAGCCCGGGGCTGTTTGTTTTGTGTTGGAGGTGATTTGCCAGGGCACCCAGCTGTGTTGGGGCAGGTCTGGTGGGCCTTGTGTTTTTTCGGTGGTCTGAAGCTGCTCCTCCTTGTGTTGTTTGTTACCTCGGGCACTGTGGGAAGATGGCTGCTGTTTTGTTTTTGTCTGTTTAGAATTTTAGTTTGAGTTGTGTAAGCCTTGCGCGGACCTCCACTGCTTGAGGGCACACACCTCGCGTTGATTGATAGTCACCGATGTCGCCTTGGTGTCGCCCCAATGCCTTGCCGTTATTGCTCCCGCCCCACCGCCTATCCACCCTGTGGGTGCGTTGTGCTTGTATGTTTGGCCTTATTGTTTTCCTGTTTCTGTGTTTCTGTGTCTGAGGTCTGTGTCCTGAAGGGAGCCCGGGAGGAGTCGTCTATTATCCGCCGAATGTCCTCTCCCCTGCTCCCTGTTTCTGTGACTGTTGTGCCCACAGATGCGCCCCGTCTGCCGCTGCCCTGTGTGTTGTCTCCGTCTGACTATTCCCACGTACCATGTGTGTTCTCTTTGTTGTTTGTTCCTCTGCCCCACTCCGTCGCCCTTCACCCCGCAATCCCTCTGGCAGGTGTTTATTTGTGTTTGTGCTTCCTTGCTGGTTGTTGTGGTGTTTGGCCTGGGGCTTTCCTCCCGATGACCCCATCACCACCCTCTGTGGCTGGAGCTCAACTGGGTTCCAATTGTGCCTCCGCGTGTTCTCATGTTGTTGTGTGTTGTGTTGTTTTGTGTTGTCTCCGCAATAGGCATGTTCCCTCCAACATTCTGTTTTTATGGGTCAGATGTTGTGTGGTGGGGAGTGTGTTGTTTATATGGATGGTTTAGGACTTTTGTTTTTCGATTCCCTGAAAGGACAAGGGCAGACCCACGATTCCAACCAGCCAGGCTCTCATAGTTGACCCTTGTGGTTTTTCACTGCCCCTGGTCACTCGAGCAGACCCGAACAGCTTTTGCAATCAGTTGTGAGTGTTGTGTCATTGTAGTGATCCTTGCCCAACCCCAGAGCTCCCCTTTTTCCCTCAGGTGGGCATGGG